GACCCACTGGTCTTGCAAATTAACCATAGAAGTGTTGTGCAGAAAACAAGAAAATTACAGGTCAAGGGAGGCGAATCCAAACCAGCTAAAGCAGCTGGGAGGCTTTCTTCGTGATCTAAGAGAGCGCACACGCGAGCCAGCCCGAATATGTCCTGAACCCACCTTAAATTCCTCTCTCATCGGATGGTATACCTGCTTTTGCTCACGAGCAAGGTTCCGAGAAAGTGATCTCAAATCCCGGGTTCACTAGAAACCCGAGATACGTTCCGCCTGATCATCTAGATCCGAAAGGTGAGATCGAGGCACCTAACCAGGTACTTCATCCTGCAGGTGCCTAGTTAAGTCGTCTATAACTAAGATAATGAGATGCAGGCTCAATGCTGACCCTTGATGTAGACCTATTGTCATTGAAATCTCACTCGTCTCTTCGTTAGTTGTTTGCATACTATTTAGCGCTCCATAGTACATATGTCTCACCAAGTCGATGTAGTGTCGGGAGACTTCTTTCTTTTCCAATACCCTCCAAATCAAATATCGAGGTACTCCATCATAAGCTTTCTCTAGGTCAATAAAGACAATGTGAAAGTCTTTTCATGTCGCCCTTAACTTCTCAATCAGTTGCCTAAGTAGGAAAATAGCCTCGGTTATTGACCTTCTTAGCATAAAACCAAATTGATTTTCAGATACACTCGTTTCATGTCTTAGTCATTGCTCAAACACTCTCTTCCAGAACTTCATAGTGGTTTATAAGCTTGATCCATCGATAGTTCACACAATTCTGTATGTCTTATTTGTTCTTATAAATAGGTACCACAATACTTTTCTTCCATTCATTTGGCATTTTTTTTGTTCTCAGTATCTTGTTAAACAACTTCATCAGTCAGTCAATACCAATCTCCCCCATGCACTTTCAAACCTCTATCGGGATACTATCTGGTCTTAAAGCTTTTTCTATCTTCATCATTTTCAAAGCTTCTTTCACTTCTGACATCATAATCCTACGAATGTATATATGACCTCCACCCTCATTTATACCAAGAATTCCTTCTGTCTCCATATTCCCACTGTGTTCGTCATTTAATAAATTTTTAAAATAAATTCTCCATCTTTTGTTGACATCGTTATCCTTCACCAAGACTTTTTTATCTTCATTCTTAATGCATTTAATATGTTTAGATCCCAACACTTTTTCTCTTTTATTTTTGCTAATTGGAAGATATTTTTTTTACCTTCTCTTTTTCCCAGTTTATTGTATAGATTATCGTATGTCTCAAGTTTCACTTTACGTACTATTTGTTTAGTGTTTTTCTTAACTTTTTTATCATCTTCTAAGTTTTGATTGTTTCCATTACACTGTCAATTTTTACAACATGATCGTTTTTGTTAATGGTCGTGGACCTCATCACTCCACCACCAAGTTTTTTTATCCGAATTTATTTTTCCTCTAGATTCTTCAAAAATTTCCTTTGCCACTTTCTTGATATAGTCAACCATCGCATTACATTGACATCACGTTCAGAGTTCTATTTTCCTTCTTCAACTAATTTATTATTAAATAAGTCTATTTTTTTCATTTTTAAAATTCCACCACCTAGGTTTTGGACATCCATTACTTTCACCCCTTCTCTTCCATGTTTTTATCCAGATGTCCATAACCACGAGCCTAAGTTGTCTCTATTGGAATAACCTTGCAGTTTTTACATGATGGTTGATCTACCTTCTTAACTAGGAAGAAGTCTATTTGGCTTTTATGTGATCCACCTTTATAGGTTATTAAATGTTCATCTCACTTTTTAAAATAAATATTTGCTATTGCTAGATCGTAGGCCATATCAAAATCCAGAATAGTCTCACCCATCTCATTTCTTTCCTCAAACCCATATCCCCTATGTACCCCTCCATATCCTCTACTGTCCTTCCCTACATGGCCATTTAAGTCCCCTCCTAATCTTTGTCTACTATTATGCCTACGCCATTTCGATTATTATCCTTTTTTGTATACCAAAGTTTATACCCATCTATTTATTTAGCTTTTTCTCCTTTCCATTTAGTTTCATATAGAGAAACTATGTTTATTCTCCTTTGTCTCATTGTATCCACTAATTTCATACTCTTACCTGTAAGCGCTCCTACATTCCATGTGGCTAGAAAATCCTATTCTCTTGAACTAGCTTCTTTACCCATGCTCGTCCAGGATGTCATGAGAACCCTTGCCCATTTTTCACCGCAACTAGGCTGCATTACGGCACATCGTTTATGGGGAACGTCCTATCTAACCCTTCCTCATTTCTCACTGTACCCGGGGTCCGATATAGCGTGTGGCTTTTAGGGAACGCCCTAGCTACCCCTTACTCATTTCTCATTGTACCCAGGTTCCGATACAGTGTGTCGTTTCTGGGGAATGTCTTAACATAAGTAAATACTATAATTTCAGGATTCATGATGAGGTTTGACAAAATTTTACATTGACTGCCTACCTAACACAACCTAACCCTTTTACCCAGGTATGGGACAAGTTAAGGTATGGGACAAGTTAAGGTAAAATTAAGGTCATCACTCTTCTTAGACCCATCCACAATCCATCATATTCCAAATAATACTTCACCTCAAAATCAACTTCTTGATAATAGTAAAACCATTGGCGAATTACAATCCCCATAAGACCGCCAAAGGAAACAATCCGCTAATTAGTGGGATTCAAGTCAATGTAACATTTCACATCCCTCTTGGTGAAATTGGGGCGCCTTGAGGACATCTACAACAAATTTAATTTAATGATGCTAGTTGTGAATCTAATTTTTCACTCTCGTTCAAAATATATAGTGGTTGATTATCAACTTACCAAGGAGAGCAACATGCGGAGACATTTTTCTCATATTTTCCTTCTTACGGTCGATCAGCATATGTATTCACTAATGCAATATTTTAAAAAACTGGATCGGTGATTCGGATTGTCTATCTAAAACATCGGGTCAAATCGGTGGTCCAGATTTAGCCTTAAATTTTTTTCAAAAACTCACTACAATTTCTAAAAAATCTAGTTTTTTTTTCTTTTTTTAAAAATGGTATTAATTTATAGTTTTTCATTATTTTTCACAAAATATGTAAATACTGAGAACATGTCTCTTGTCTTAAGTATTTGTTGTCCATTAATTTCATTCACAGTCAATAATTTATTTTCATTATCTTACTTATCTAAATAGATAAATAAATGTGACAATAAGAATCTAATTCGACACTGAAATTATTTCTTGTTCCATCGGAATCAATTCAAAATATATAAAGAATATATTCTTGTGACATTTTAAATTTGGGCATGTATACTATGCTCCCTTTGGAGCATATAGTTTACTTCAACTCCCTACTACCTATTTGGGAGGCTTTTTTTCAATATGAAATATTGGGACTCACCTTAAAACCCCTAGATTATTCTCAAAAAAATTGAAATTTGAGTTTTCTAACATTGGGATCTCATCTTCTAAACAGTTTCTATTCAATCCAATGTTGTCGAATTTGCTTTGGAGTCCGCTTTGATTTTTGGAAAATGAAGTAATTATGCACTTCAACTGATTTGGATGAAGACTTTGGGGTTTTTTTAAAATTAAAAAAAAACAAAAATATATTTTTATAACTTTATAAAATATTTAACAAAATAAAAATTATTTTTTAAAAAATTTATATAAAATTGACACCTTAAAATGTAGAATTAAGATGTACCTCTAAAATTATTCGTAAAAAGTTGTTTTGATGTTGGAAATACGTCTAATTGATTATCTCGACACCAAGATGTATTAATATGAGGAAAAGAGAAATTTTAAATCCTAAAAATAGTGCTGCAACAACAAAAGGATGGGGCATCTCAGAGGCTGATGTGCTGCTTCATCTGCATAACTTAATTGAACTAAAGACAGTTCGAACGAGGCCCACAAGTGCCTGGTATCCTCGCCCTCAAGGTATGCTAAAGCTGAATTTTGATGGCAATTCACAGGGTAATCCAGGGTTTGCAGGGGGTGGGGGTGTGATTCGAGACTACAATAGCCTTACCATTCTCACTTTCGCAAGACCTATCGGGGAAGCGACTGCTAACTATGCAGAAATGCCTACTCTCCTGCAAGGTCTAAAAGTTACTTCGTGATCATAATCTGGGGTATATGTGTAGTATCGAAGGAGAATCGATGAATGCCATTCGGTAATATAAAAAGGAGTTAAAAGGTACCATGGAACTGAAATCCCTGTGGTTGTGGATCCATGATTTGTTGATAGGTTTAACGATTTCTTTCCCGCATGTTTATAGGGAAGCCAATTTTTTAGCTAACTCACTTGCCAAAATTGGTGAGTCCTTATTTTCTCTTTCTATTTCTGCCGATAATGTAATCCCTCTTGGGTAACTTCTTTACCAATACATGCTTTGCTATTTGTCCAAAAAAAGATGGCAATTTGTCCAAAAAAAAGTTTGCCATCTGATGCAAACCACACCCTTTACAAATAGAGTGAGGTTTGTATAAGGTTTGCCTCCTTATCCTATATAAATAAGCCATGTTTATAAAATTTACTTAAGAGAAGCAGTTTCGATGTCGAAAATCTTACGATGGCTCGATAATTTTTCTTTCATCATCAGTTACAAAATTTAAAATTTCAAAAATTGTACATATCGAACAAATTAATAACACTTGAAAATCTTGAAAATAGACAGTCCAGAAAACTTGTTATAAGATGCACTATTTTTTAGACTTGGAATTCTTTTTCTTCTTCATATCCATTCATCTCGATGTCAAGAGATCACTTAGACGGTTCCCCAATGTTGGAACACTCTCCTTTATAGGATTTTTGAGGTGCACCTTCAACAATAAAAGGTTGCAACCTTATATAAACTTTTTTCTTAAAAATAATAATAATAAATAAGCTGACATGGTCAAGCCATCACCATTGACAAACCATAATCACAAAGAGCTAAGTTATAGCTTCGGCAGTCATCATGTTGTATTCCAATAAACATGAAATGATATATATGTGAATATCCATTATTAATGCCAACAGTGGCAATGAAAAAATATTTGATAATTCTTCATCATGACTCGTGAGAGCACAACATGTACAAACTAAATAGAACTACATGCATGCCATACAAGTAGATTAAGGACATCAATTTAAAGCATTTTTCAGTGATAAAAAAACAATTTAGAGAAAACCCAAAGTTTTGGGCACGGTGCGGAAAAACTCAAAATTAGGTCACATTGCGGGGAAACCCACTATTAGGGCACAATGTCAAGAGAGAGATACAGATAGAGATTTTAGTGATGGAAAAAAATTTCAGTAGTGAAAAAAACAAAACACAGGCACAACCACACAGTTGAGAGGAAGAGAATCCCATAATTAGCGTACCATTTAGGAAGCCAAAATTAGGGCTTAGCTACCGGGACTTAGGGAAGAGACCGGGACTTAGGGAAGAGAGAGAGAGAGAGAGAGAGAGATTAGGTACCTGTATGGGCCAATGAGAAGTGGATGCTTGAAGCCTTGAAGGAACAAAACTGGTTAATCGATGGTAAAAAGTAGAAACAAGCAAAATTCACACTTAGTTTTACTTTTAACTAATCATCAATTATGGAAAATTAACTTTTTACAACATAAATTTCAACACTAATATTGCGAACAATACAATAAGCTTGCCTTTTTAATTATTTACTTAGCTTCTAATTATATAATAGAATGTAATGTTTATACATACACAGGCATATATGTAGACACGAAGGATGGATTATTTCTCCTCTTCCACGAAACTGGTCTCCTGAACATACTCCCTCATAAGTCTTGTGTTAGATTCATCAACCATCTGCAAAACAAAGAAGCATTTACCAAAACATAAAACAAATGTGAATCAGTTTGACAAGAATGTAGAAGAACTACATACCTCGAAAGCAAGGCGCTTCAAGTTATCCCACTCAAAATCCCTCTTGGGATATGCTGAACGGACCTAAAACATAATGCCAATGCCAGGAAGGAATTTATAGAATTTGAAATATCAATAGAAGGAAAGCGTTAAAACAAAGTGTCAACTTTGTATTATAAAAGTAAGTTGCACCTCAAAGCCCACAGGAAAAAGTCGTTTCGCTACTAAAAACCTTCCAATTGATCATCATGACCTCAAAATGCACTGATATGAAAAAGAAAATAATCTCGAAGTCTAAAAATAATGCTTCTTATAGCACATTATCTAGACAATCTATTTTCCAGATAGTTAAGAGCTTATAGATTTGTTCGATCTAAAATATTTTTGGAGCTTTACATTTAATTAGGATGAAAATGGATTTCAGGTCATTGTCGGAGTTTCCAACACAAACCACATCTTACAACAAAGTTTGGAGGTACACCTTACTTCGACGTTCAAAGTTGACCGTAATACATGATAAAGAGACAAGCTTGGTGAGGGTAGGAGGACAAACCTCTAAGATGCGTAGGGCTGAAGTCATGTAGACACCAAGATATGTCAAATCACCACATCCCAAAAGAATTTCAAACATAAGGTAAGAATGAATCAGCCACTAGGTAGATGATTAGCCCCTTTTTTTTATAATAATAGTCACACAATGGACTAATTAAGTTAATTTTGCAACGAGATAAAAGAATTATTGGAAAAACCAAGGAACTAACTTTATGGCCACCCAACTATACATGTTCCAGATTACCCAACCGGTTGAAACCGTAGTTAGCAAGAATTGTTTAAATCTATTTTTTCTCCAAAAAATCAAATTTGTTAAACACTAAGTTTTTCAAATTTTTTTTTTAAATCTCACATTTTTCTATAGAACCAATATACAATGCCAACTTTTATCCATTTCATTTTTTGAAGTTCCCTATTTTCATGTCCTTCAAATTTCTAACTTTTTTAAAACTTCCCTTGTCTTGATGGATTTGAAATCTTTGAATTGGGGTGTCATAATATACGCTTACTAAATGAGAGATTTAATCAGCAACCATAATTCAACCAAAAAAGCTTTCACGAAACTATTTCGGAAAAAAGTGTTCCCCCAAAATAGGTACTCCCCTAAAAAATCATTCCTTTTTTAAAAAAAAAAAAAACCATACTCTAAAACATATAGTTCCCCAAAAAAAAAAGGAAGACGAAGAGTGATCTAATGAAAAATATCCTCTTGCTCTAAACCAAGAGAGAGTGATTTAGACAGAATTGAAGATTTAGGTGGCTGGGAATTTGGGGGTAAGGGTCGAAAATTTGAATTTGCTTACATGGATTGCTTAGTACAAGTAAGTTTTCTATTACATTGCATACATGAGTTTTTATTAAATTTCACTATTTCTAGTTTCTTTGCTCTTTCACTAATGTACACAACACAACATTGTGGATAGAACACTACTTCATATTTGCGATTTCTTAGTTTCTGTTAACAATAATCCCATATTGAGGTTCTTTAATTTTTTTTTTTTTTGGCTGACGGTAATCCTATACCTTGTGTTGTTGTTCGTGTTATTTGTTAATATAATTGTTGTGTTTTATATCACATTTATTGTTTCAATGTGTGCTCCTAGTAAAATCATTGTACATTTGTGCCATGACAATAGAGGAAGCACACCATATTGTTGTGTTTAACAAAAATTTCGGTAAAACATCAAATAGGACCTTGAATGCTACCAAGTCTTGGCATAAAATTATTGTTCAATCATACCCTCAAAATAAAATCATTGTATGTGTTCCCTCTGCAAATTGTAACTTTCTTGCATGTCATTTATGTATATCCAAGTTCTTCATCCCTTTTTTGAGCCAAATATGAAATATTCACATTTTTTGGCCAACAGTAATTTTGCCTTTGAGTTTTTTGAACAAAACGAATTTAATACCAGTTTTTTGGTTTGCCTATCAGGTTATTTTTTGATTTGCTACTCATGGTCAAATCCCAAGCCACCCCTTTTTCAGAAATTTTAAGTTCCCCATGAGTTGTAAAGTTGGGCATCCATATAATTTCCTTCAACAATCCCCTCCAAAAAAAAATATATAAAGCAAATGAACAATGTCAAGTCCTGCGTGTAGAGAAAATTCGATATGCTTTGCAATCTAATTTAATGTAAAAGTGCATAACACACACCTTGCTTGCTTCACAGAGGAAATACAACACAAGGACAGTGCGGAGTTCACAACTTTATCCATGCAAAAGTAAGGGTGCCTATGCAGCCAGAGATGGTTGGGAAATTTCTAAGTTTGAAACTTGACAATATTTATACATCAAAGCACCAGTATTATAAGGCATGAATACAGGAAACCGTTATTCTCTTTCTGGTTACTAGTAAGAAATGAGTGAAATAATGACTCGCTACACTCACAGGGTCATAGCGACAAGTTACATGGTGATTTCGCATAGCAAGCGAGCAAACTAAAGCCTTTTCAATCCCTGAATACAATACAGCTAGTGGGGGTCAAATTGAATATCTGATAGCCTAGAAAGTGATCCTGAACTTTCAACCGGGCAAGCACTTGAACATGAGGACAAGAAAGTAGGAAGCAAACAACTACCAGAATTGCCAAGCCAAGTTGGTTAGAGAGGCCTCATGATATTATCTTCACAGAAAATAGACAGGCGAACTTTCATCTTGTTGGCTTCCCACCAAGACCAACCTTTCCAAAAGTTAGTTACTAGATGTAAATAAAATCATAGTCATGTCCTCACAATGTTGGCTGAAGCCCATGAGTCAAACACTGCTGCATAGTGCTCAGCTTTCATTTTCCATGAAACCCCATGGAGCCTCTTAGAAGTTTTGAACAGTACCAAAGAATGGTTTCATGATATGCTTGTGAAGACAACACGCGAAGGAATCCAGGAGACAATAACAGTAGCACACACTGACACACATAACATCATCCATATTACAATCTAATGGTCCTTCCCAACAGCAGGTACTAGGAATGGCTAATAAATATTATTACTTGATTCACAAGAAGTCAAGATCACTGTCAGACTAGGAGTCAGACTAGGAGCCACTACAAAGATCTATAGTTTTCGGAGACAGAGTTGGCTTCAGTCCTAGGTGTACTGAAAAAGAAAGACAGAACCTGAACAAAGAAAGAACTAACAAAAAACCAAGTTCATCAGAAGAATAACGGATTCAGGAGATCTTGAGGATATTATAAAGACATGGCCAGATTCCCTCAAAACTCTTTACCAATAATCTTTAACATCAATAGAGATGGTAATGTGCAAGCACCACCAGTGAGACCGTAGCACCTCCCTCTGCCTATGGAAGTGCAGTTGCCGAGATGAAAAGACAGGAGGCTTCTAGCTGAGCAACATTGTTGTCCCAACAAGGTGTAACTACATCATAGATTGTGGAACACCGTGTAATCCCTCATCCCCCCCCCTCCCTCCCCGCCTAACGAGATGAAATTTCAAGAGTTTCTTTCTTTGGTGCAAATTCTCCTTCTTTGTCCACCACAGCCCCCGCGGCCAACCAAAGCCAGCGGTAATTGCAGTGGACATGAGCGCTCAGGTACGCCTAGAGTCTTATGCTCCACAATTCCTGTTACTCTTGCCCAATGTTTTCAATGTTTTACAACTCGAGCAAGTCGAATCGGACTTGCCTGAGCATCTTGGATTCGGCAGGTGGCCATACCTAAGTCCCCCCAAACTCCAGGGAACATAGTCATAATCAATATAAATATTATGTTAATATAATTAGAGTTAAATTATAATTGATTTAATATTTGAAAATCAATTAATATAAATATTATGTTAATATAATTAGAGTTAAATTATAATTAATTTAATATTTGAAAATCAATTATATCTTTTTATCCTTTTTGGGGTTTTCTATTTTCTAATGGTTTGATTTTGATTATTTCTATATCTTCTCATTTTTATGAGAAATTGATCTTTAGACCTTTGTTTTTCTGAAAACTTATATTTGAAATCAAGTATATCTTTTTATCCTTTTGGGGGTTTTCTTTCTAATGGTTTGATTTTGATTATTTTTCTCATATTTTATATAAATATCCATTGTTGTCATTTTCCTTATTTTACCTATTTTCACAGATTTTTTCTTATTTTAAATTTGTTTTGGCCATTTTCGAGCTCGACACATACTCGGGCAACTCAGAATCGCCGATGGCCAAGCCAAGTTCTAAACATTGCTTTTGCCACCAAGAAATGCCCTGGTATTAGTTGAAATAAGTACCCTTAGCAGTGAAGGCTAACAGGACCAACCATATCTACGATATTAGTTATCGATGGCCATATATTACTTCAGAAAACAAGACTCGACTCAAAAAGATATGTTTATACAAGTGCCATAGCAAAGTTGCACAAAGATTTTGAAAGTAACTGTACAAATGCTTTGTGAAACAAATTTTTCCGTTTCAAAATGGTGACATCGATGATCTGACTATGATAATGGCCAATGAATAAGGTATACACAATGATGATCTCAAAGTTCAAAGACATACCTAAAGTTCTATGCCTTGGAGATTCTCGCATCAGATTTGAACAAAACTTATCCCCATCATTCAAAGAGTTTCTGGAAATGAAGTCCATTAATTCTTCATAGGCCTCTGGATTGTAACTCTGCAACAGGAAAGATCCACACCGATGAAAAACACTACTACTTGCTGATATATTTCTAGCCCCATAGATTTTAGTTTGCCCTATAAACGGCCGTCAGAAAATATGATGGAGATTATCCTAAGAAACTTCCATGGGGTATGCTAATTCTTCCATTCATAAGTGAAAGAAGAAATTAATGGAAATGAGAAAGCAAAAAATTCCAGCATTTGGGACTCAACTTTTACAGTGTAAAGCCCTCATTCATGACCAACACCTAGCATCCGTCACTTTATAAAGACACTAAAGTGAATTTCTTACTCAAGTATTTTATGTACATGAGCCCTAATAAGGAGCATAATTTATAAATATACTTGGGTACATCAATTAATTAGCATAACAACACATTTCTTTGATTTTGGCCGAACTGTTTTGAAGGAGAAAGAAAAATTACAGAGAAGTCTGCTTTATTTTGGTGTTGAAATAACCTCCCTCACTCAGAAAATTCAGCTGAAGTGGAAGTAACAAGTATGGAGAGGGGCGATTTGGCTGAATCAACTGGAGTGCTGAAACTGCTCAATACCATCAAAATCAAGAATTGCATAAATTTTCAAAACACTCGCTTGATGTAAAGTTGCTAGTCCCTCTACTTTGCATGATACAGACATTCTTTCAATTTGGAATATTCTTCATAATTCTCTGAAAAGTTCAGGATGTTATTTGGAGACTGCCTAAATGCAGGTGACTGAACATTGATACTTCTTTGAAAGAACAAATGAGTGGATATGAGGGTGTGTTTAGAGATATACATGGTGACTGTATTAGAACTTGAGCTGTTCATAAGGAAGGTATAGCGATTCAATTTCGTATTGGTTATAGTGGGTTAAAACACACAAGGACATTTGAGCTTTCCAAAAGTCCAGATAGATGCATACTGCAACTTAATCATTAATTGTTCTGAGAGGCTTTGTCAGTGCAACATGGAAGTTTAAAATAAAGTAATCCTGTATTCGAGATAGGTGCATAAGTACTTGATTTTATCCAATACTTTCTGGGAACAAATCAAGCTTATGCCAATGCCCTTTCTTGGATTACCTTCCAAATAATCAACATAGTTTAAGAGAATACCCAGAATATGTCAGAAAAGCTATACACCATGCTCAAGTTCCTGATAGTGATGGAATTGGTATCGGGATAGCTTCCTTAAATTTCCTTCTACCTTATGTTTTACATACTCGGCATTGCTCTGTTTATATCCTGATTCAAGGGTAGGGACACACCTCAAACTGGCTAACATACCAGCCTCCATAGAAAAAGAAAAGGGGAAAAAAAAAACAAAAACTAAAACCCGTGTCGTTTCCCCAAATTGGTTGGAGCATTGAATGCCTCATTTTGGTCAACAAACTGAAACTCAGACAAATGACAATCCTTCAGCAGAAGGAGAAAACCATAGAATAAAGCATGATTGCTTTCTTTTTCATAGAAACAAGATTTTGTACATTCAGAAACTCAGATAAATGCTAAGGGTGCCTATATCCATTGATTCAGGGTAACCAAAGAAAATATAAGCAACAGTACACTTGGAATGCATGGCATTAGGACAGAATGTTTGCACTGAACTTCCTACTTCAGCATGATTGAGAAATCACTTTTCATGTAGATAATATTGCATTACTCGACATTTTATATTAGCTATTTCATTCTCTTAAAAGAGATTTGGTTATATAAACATATCGGGCTGAAGAAGGAAATTTCAGAGAACCACACTTAAACTGACCCAGTTTATATAACAGACAAATTTTCTAGTCACTCATAAGTGCATTTTTAACATTAATAGACACGTCACGTCGAGTACCTACGGATGCTCCAAACCAATACAAATTAGAAAGAATAATGTATGAGTACATGCAAAGCAGAATATCAGGAGTGGAAGCCCAGACCTCTCATTTATTCATGCAGCTCTCTCTCTCTCTCTCTCTCTTTGTGGCTCTGTGCATGCACGTGTATGTATGTACGGTTTTACATAGTGATACACACCCCCCTGCACTAGTCCTTAGGAAATTAAAATTCATCATAGACAGGAGAAAACAGATTTTATTTCTTTAATAAAGTGACATAGATTTTGGGGTCCTCAAATTACAATCACCTGGATGTGACCACAAGAACCTACTCAAGTATACCATTTATCATTTTTTAGTTAGTCATGGTGACCAGACCATCACTAAATTAACTAATGGGAAAAGTTTATATAGAGCCTAGGCTCTAAACAATCAAATTGAAACATACCTCAAAACTTTCACTAGAAGAGGTTGTTTTGATGCCCAAATATCATTAAATTGATCATCTCGACATCAAGATGTATGGACATGAGAAAAAAATCGATTTCAAATTTTGAAAATAGTGTATCTTGTAACGCATTTTTGGACCGTCAATTTTCAAGATTTTCAAGTTTTCATAGATTTGCTTGATGTACAATAATTTTGCTCCAGTATTGAAACCATATTTCCCGATACTATTTGAAGGTGGGCTCTAATTTGACTGTTTAGAGCCTCGGCTCTATACAAACCGCACCCTTAACAAATTAGTTATAATTTGTACATAACTATAAAATGGATCTCGTTTAGAAAAGGGAAAATTTTATATAGAGCCGAGGCTCTAAACAATCCAATTGGAGCCTACTACAAAAATTTCACTAGAAGAGGTTGTTTTGAGCCCAAATATCCTCAAATGATCATCTTGACATCAAGATGCATGGACATGAGACAAAAAAGGATCTTGAGTTTTGGAAATAGAGTATTTTGTAATGCATTTTTGGACCATTAATTTTCAAGATTTTCAAGTTTTCATAGATATGTCGATTTTACACTATTTTTTAAGCTTTAAACTTTATAAACAAAGATGAAAATATATTTAAGGCTATCACAAAGATTTCCAATATTGAAACTACATTATTTTACACTATTTGAAGGTAGGTTCTAATTTGATTGTTTAGAGCCTAGGCTCTATACAAACTGCACCCTTTAGAAAATCACCGATATCACTTTAGATTACACAGCAAAATAATACCACCATCTCACTAAAACGCCCGTTTTACCTGTCTTATTGCTATGGTGATTGAAACCACAACAGAAGACAGAAAATATGACCATCAAAGAGTTCTTTTATCATATAACTACATGTTTTTGCGATGGCAACAAGAAATTCATGTGTAACCTTACCAATGCTCTTGGTTTTAATGCGAAATAAGCTACAACATCATCTCGATTGACCTCAACTGGCCCATTCGGAGATGCAAAAAAACTTGACCTTCACCACCACATAAGATACCAAATCGGAGCAACATAGACCACATTAAACACTGTTCAGTATATAAGTCATCTATCATCATCATTATATAAGTCATCTATAGTTTTTGAATATATATAAATCATCTCTATTAGTAACTGGTTCAGGGTATCTGAGGTTTACCACATAGCTGACCTATGACTGCAAAGTGCATTTAAAACAAACCAACCCATGCCAAGAATCAATGACATCCTACATATCTAGGGACTACCAAATTAAACAAGAACATGTAAGTCAGCATTCGAAGAGAAACCCGAACTAAGGGAAACATTCCAAGCCCTACTATAACAAGAAATGGAATAACATGTCTCATTGAATCAACAGAAAAAAAGGGAAAAAGAAGCACTATTGTCACACACAAATACAGTGTCCAAAATCAAGGGCTAACCTAAGGCATGCTAAACCACCAAGCGCATATCGAAGTTGGACTTTTACGCGGAATATCCGTACTAATTTGTTTCTCAGATCCCAATAACTTAGCAAAATACTTAACATAATGATAGGCAAATCAACGCCATGACAGAAGGTATCATAAATCAGCAAGGAAGAGGTGAAATGGGAAGGGAAAAACCTGCAACTGCGCCAAAACGATCTTCACAGCCAAGAAGTTGAAAAAATTGTGAAGGCTCCCTGCCGCCTTCGCTTCTGGTGAAACCTCCCCAAATCCTACAACCGATGCTTTATCAAATTCCAATCCAAATTCTTTTGCACCACCAATTGAAAGAAGAGGAAAGAAAAGGGCGAATTTTGCTCCAATAGGCCTTTGTCTTAGATGATAACACTATGAAAACTTCCAACAAAAAATTTAGAGAAAGATATAGAAAGAGAGAGGGAGAAGAGCTACCTGGAACGAACATTTTGTAGCAAGAGGTGCGCAAGGATCGAGGAGGAAGAAGACGACGGGAAGGAAGGTTGAAGGAAGTAGGTGGAGCGAGCCATGTGAGCCCTTGAACTCTAGAAAGGAGACCGGTCTCCATGTCTTTCACTCTCTCTCTCTCTCTAAAATTGAACCACCATCGGGGGCGCTTGGAGCGAGAAAATATCCGAAGAGCGAGAACATATCAAAAGAGATCGAAAAAGCAAGCACACATATGTGCACGTGATGGGCGAGTGACATTTAAAAAATGATTATGTAGGATCCTACAGCAAATGGGCAATGATCTCATGCAGCGGTAGTACAACGATTGTACAATAGTATAATGCCTTCTAAAAAATACTATGGTATTTTGTAATAGAACAATGATATAATGTAACGGTTATATCATAGTATAATGTAAAGATATTTTAAAAAAATTACGTTTGTGGTATTTGTATAATTTTAAATTTTATATTCATACTCTCTTCATTTCAATAATCAATCTCCCCCAAAAAAAAATGTTATATTTTAACTCTAGATATGGTCAAAATGAGCTCCCTCCAAAAATAAATCTATACCATTTATTTTGTGAACTTCAAGATTTTAGCCTTTATAAATTAAAAATTATTTTTTTATTTTTTAATATTGTTCATCTAATGATAATAAAGCCATCTAAAAAAATTGAAAATGAAAAAATCCTTTTAAGACCTAAATCTAAACATCTCACCAAAATGAACGGCCTATGTTAATTGGGCTAAAAAAATACCATCTAAATTGTGTTTTCAATTTTTTATTTTTTTGTGATTGTTTATTAGAATGAAAATAGTATATATTTCAAAAATTGGATCAAACAAATGACCATAAGATGGTTTTTTAAGATTGTTGCATCATTTTACTATACAGCGGTTGCATGAAATTGTTGTCCTACTTTACAATCTAATTCTTTTGCAATCACAAACTTTAATAAAAAAAATTCAACTAAAAAAATTTAGCTTTTACAACTATTGCGTGAAATGCCAAAACAAATAGGCCTTAGAAAGATTTTTTTTTTTTTCTTTACCATTTTGTTTAGATGGCTTTATTATGTTTAGATGAACAATGTTAAAAAAAATAAAAATGATTTTGAACTCGTAAAGGTTAATATCTTGAAATTAACTAAATGAATGGTCTAGACTCAATTTGACTATATCTAGGGTTCCAATTAAACTTTTTTTTAGGGGGGGTCGATTATTGAGATAAAGAAAATGTACAAAATTTTGAATCACACAAATACCATAAACATGATTTTTTAAAAATATTGTTGCATGATTTTTTAGAAATATCGTTGCATTATAGTATAATACAATGGATAATAATTTCATGCAATAATTGTATCATAATATAAGATAATATAAGACAGGTTGATAGCCTTCCACATTCCTTCGTGCGGCTACGAGGACCCCCAACTTTTACGCGCCCTCCGCTGGAATCACATACGAGAAAATATATGTTAGGGGAAATATCTTGAGGACCCGTAATTCCATGACTAATCCCTGCAGCACCTAATTACTCTCCAGAGGAAGAGATCTTTTACGTCTGGATGAAGTATCCAGCAGAGTATGCGACCTGCAACGACAAAAAGTTTGTGGCCATGAAGCTGGCTTCTACTACTTATGAAGAAGTAATGGTAAATAGGGCCTTGATACTTCTTGATTGCTATCTATTAATTTCATTACTAAGACAACCAAAAAAGTTTTTGTCAGAAAAAAATCATTACAAAGTTGAGTCTATTTGCCTTAGATTTACATAGCATAATAGTTTCTAATATTATCGGTAACTCTATTTTTTTGGGAAAATTAAATAAATTTTCATTTTAGTTTTCGTTATTATTAAAATAACGGATACTTTTTGTTATTACTGATACGTCTCTGTTTTTTGACTTTTTGACTTGATAAGAATTTTTTTTAAAAAAACGAAACCTCTTATTTTCGATTTTTCAAAACCGAAATCAAAGTAATTTCAGTTTTTAAAGAACCGATATTTTTTTCTCTCTTGTAAATCCTCTCCGTATTCTCTTTCTCTATCGAATAATCAAGTTTACAAACCGAATTTTCAATTTTCTCTCTCTCTCATTCCTATCTCCCTCTCATAAATTTAACTAATCCATGAGTAAATTTTCCAAAAGATTTTCAAACCCCCGGCCTGTTTGTAAAAATTTATTGACTTTCCTTTTTAAGAACGTTTTTGGGTTTGGATTTCTTTGTTTGAGTTACGAGTGAATCTTGGATCGGTGCTGTGTGATCGAAGACATACCGGAGAGGGTTTTCGAGGCCTTACTCTCCTAGCCCTTGATAGGGCTTAGGGATGGATTCACATACTTATTTTGATTGATGACTTCCTTTTTATTATTATTTTTATACACATATATTTTTTGTTCATCCTAAGATGGATTGGTTCACTGGGTAGTTGTCGGGTTTTTAACCTTGTATTTCACTGTCACCAAATTCTTGGGAGATGGGAGCTTTGTTTTGATTCTTCATTTTCCCATTGTTTTAGCCTGCCGCTCTCTCTTCTACTAGGCACCTATACGGGTCCACAGATGGGGGCGAGGATTCTACCTCCCCAATTGATTAGGGAGATCATGGACATAGGCTTATCGGAGGTCTGTCGGATTGATTCATTCCCCTTAGATACGGCACTTATTAGTGCTTTATTCCACCGGTTCCATCCTGAGACCGGGACCTTCTCCTTACCTTGTGGGGAGACCGATATTACTTTAGAGGTTCGGAGTGATGGAGTACTCAGTCTTTGTGACCCTCTTCCCGACGATTGTTCTGTTCTGGAGGGAGGTTTGAGGGTTATCGGGAGATATTCCTCATAGAGAGCGAAGGTTAGGTGACAAGCACCTTGCTCTGAGCTGGATTTTGGAGGCTATTGGGGGCATAATGCTCCGGCAGACAGAGGTGGATGAGCACTCGAGGAGTGTGCAGAGGGCTCGGTGGATGAGCACTCGAGGAGTGTGCTAAGGGCTTGGGCTAGGAAGTTGCGTGTCAAGCCCAAGTTGGCACGTGCTAAAAAGACTCCCACGAGTGGTAGATCTGATGCTCCTATCGAGGCACAGGAGAGAGAGGCTTCTTCTTCTTCTTTGGCTTCATCTTCAGCGACTGAGTTTGAGCATTGGGTTTGAGATGATGAGACAGTTGTAGCGACTCCTTTGATGGATTCCCCAAGCGATGGTGCAGAGAGTGTGGGAATTGGTCGTAAGTGCCATAGGAGGGCATGTACCCTTAGGGAGTTTGAGAGCAGAGGGCGCCCTACTTTTGATCCACCGGCTCGCGATCAGGTGGATGCTTTCATTGAGGGTGCCACCCCCTTAACTAATGTTTCGGCTGGAGACTTCCGGGACAAGGAGGAGCCGATGCTGCCATTTCTGCAGGGTCGGCCTGCACTGAGAGGGTCACTGAGGCCCTTAGAGCCGACCAGTGCACCCCTACGGACGTTGAGCGAGACATTCGTGGGGGTAGGCGGGTCTTCAGCCCTGATTATGATCTCCCTTGTGATGGTGAGCTCACGGTTGCCGAGAGGCAAACTATTCGGGGTTCTTGGTGCATCTTTTTGGTGCCCTTCTATTTCCCGATGCTTCGAAGGGCAACACCGTGTTCAGTTTGTGTGGGCCGTTCGAGACCTCGAGTATCTCCACCGGGTAGCATGGGTTCCGGCTATATTGGCCTTCCTCCTTCAGCGTATGCGGGAGGCTGCTCTTGGGCGTGTGGGCTACATCTCTGGCTTCATATTTTGCCGCTTTGTTTTCTCCTTTCCTCTTTCCTATTTCTTTTAGGAGGCTCGTTCTAGCCGACGGTTATGGATAGGTTTGGGCCTGGGAGAATATTGCCTTGCCCTGGCCCCTTGCTTAGAAGACCGCCGTATCCATCGATGGTCACGGGGTAAGCAAGCTAGGGCCCAGGCTTTTACAGTTGATCATTATACCCTGATCTGGAAGAGAGAGGGTATGGGGTCTTCCTTTCCTCATTTGGTGGCACATCCCATCCCCACTGACTTTCTTATTTCCTTCTCCTTTGCAGATCACATGGGGCCTTGCTTTTGATAATGAGCCACGAGAGATAGTGGAGTACTCTTGAGAGGTGTTTTTGATGACCTCCCTTTTGATTTGTATGTACGTCATGGAGGCGTACGTGGCATTTTGGGTACCCCCAAGTTGAATTGCCTGATGTTGATGCTTTTAACGTTCTTGAGATTAGCTTGGGGCATGATTATTGGTCAGCACCATAAACCCTCCAGATCACATTATTCCCGAGGAGGCGGATTCTTTTTACCGCGTGGTTTGTGTATACTATTTACCACCGTTCCCCTTCGTATGAGAAGTTCTCGCGTGGTGTTTATGTGGTGGAGGAAGCGAGGTCAATTCTTACCAACATGCAAGAGGAGTGCGATCTTCGATCAAAGCCGAGTCGGTTACAGGAGCAGCATACTCAGTTGCAGGGGCAGTATGAGCAGGTAGTCTAGAGTGGATCCCAGGCAGAGCGTGAGAGGGAGTCCCTCCGTCGGAGTCTTTGCGATCTTTCTCAGATGGCATCTCCTTCATTGGCCTCTCTGATTCCATGCACGGCATCTTCGGGGTGTTCCACAGGCTCCTCAGGGGCCTTCGACTAGCGAGATGGAGCGTTTGCATTCTCGAGTCATTCTTTACCGATCCGAGTCGAGGGAGTATGCATTTCTTATGTTTTTTCTAGATTTTTCATACCTACGAAATGTGCCTTATAATTTGGGTTGAGGGGGCCATGAGTGGAATCCATTGGCTTTGGAAATTCCAAAAAGCAAGTTTTGACATGGAAATGAAATCATCAAAAAGTTGGGTCAGGTTTAATTTTGATGGAATTTTAATATCCTAGCTATTGAGCAAACCAAATCATGGATTTCAGTAATATCCAAAATATTAAATATCCATGTTCCAAAATCCATGTGGCCAAATGGATGAGGGTTTTTATTTTTTATAGATTCTATGATAAAAAAAATAAAACTCTAAAATCGACAACTTCTACTCCTTTACACAATGAAAATGAAAATTTTGGTGATGCGGAGGGAAGAATTTTTATTTTTAATGAGAGAGGAAAGAAATCACGCCAAAACGTGAGAAGGGAAGAATAAGGACCTCATTTTTTTTATTTTAATAAAAAATAAGGGTAAATCTGTTTATTACTCTCTTAGGGTACCGCCTGAAAGTAAA